TCTTTTCAATACTACTGAGCAAGGTAAGGAGGAACTTGCGTGAAAGCTTCATAACAGTTTATATTAATGAAGCGCTATGCTTTTCTAGCTCCAGCCAAAATGCTCAGGTGAAGAATGTGACTTATATTGGCCAATATTTGTATCACATGTTGAAATGTTTTCCCCAAAATGATAGCCGTGTCAATAATGAATTTAGAGACTTTAAGTATAGCACACTAGTATCATATACTACCATGTCTTTCCATGACTATTTCTAGTCACGAATAATTATTAATTATCCTTTACATATGTATTTACGAATGTGTTCAGAATCAAAATGTAATACAATGTATATTAGTATTTCTGATTTTTTAAAAAAAAATTAGATATATACATATCCTGCAATTCCATGTCAAATATTTTAAATGGAAAAGCACCTCAAGTACTTCTGCCTACTATGTGGGTAGGGAATGGGTGTTTGTGTGTGGTGAAATAAAAATATACAAAAATCTTGTCTTTTGTTTGGCTTTCGTTAATATTTATTTGTAAAACATAATACCGGCATAATGATTTCTAGACATACGAATGTATTTAATAATTTTTTGCTTTGACAATGACCATAGGTTTTTACTTTCCTATGAAGGATCTTTAAAATGAAATATTTGGAGATAACGAACAGTATTCGAGCTCAAAAGTCATTTATGAATTACAAAATAGGAGCGGAGCAGACCACTCTCTATCATCGGCTCATACATTCACCTCTGCCGTTGGCTCGCGTATATCACAGTGATAAACACGAGAATGTAGTGTTTTAATTCATTATAATTCAATTTATATGTTTATGTCTGACTTTTCAAATAGATATTTACTAAACTAATCCAGAACTTTTAATTTAATTTGAAACAATCCTGCAAATATTACTTTGTATACGTTATGTCAAAAATCTTGACCTGAGCCCATTGCAGAGGTGTCTGAGAGAGGAACGAAAGACACTCTGCATAGGAGATTGTGAGCAGACACGGACCTCCAAAACATCAGAGGTGGGATCAGGTGAGTAATGGGAACTCCCAATAACCTGTCACATTACCATGTGCTCCTTGTCATGTTCGGGAAAATCCATCGACAACCCAGTGTGTAAATGATGGCCTAGCAATCAGTGTGAAAAGTCAGTCAACATTTGACTTAATCACCCCTACTAATGTGTTCGGAACCTTTTATTTTTTTTCTAAAAAAAGAGATATATAGCTCTGGCAGTGGCTCTGGCGAAGTTCCAGACTTCAGCGAGATATTTATTCACGGAAATGTGGCTAGGAAGTGACTAGCACGTGGAGACATGGTAAACAGAAAAGTTATGTTGCGTTTCACTTTTTACCACCCTAGAATCAGCTGATAATGTCTGTAGAAATGTACTTCAATCAATCGATCTGTCTTACATTCATTCAAACTTAAATAAGTATTCTCTATAATACAATTTTCTGCAGTCATGAATTAAAATTTCTTTTTGGAAAAATATTTTTGCATGGGAACTGGGACTATATTTTTTACATTAGCAAATAGGCACCAGCATGATTTTAACTGACCAATCAGCTGAATGAGTATTGCATTATGGGTTACTACGAATACTACAGGAATTTTACGCTTGAAAAAAAGGAAAATTTTATTGTAAATAAAAAAGCATTTTTAAAAATATTATGGTCATACTCATAATGACAAACAATTCATTTGTTCAATAAACGGTGGAAGTCTAGGTTTCTGAAAGTCATACTGCAAAAGCGATTTGCGTCTGTATTAATTCCTTTATTATACTATCGGTGAATACAATTGCCAGGTGAATTCCCTGGCCGAACACGTGATCACGAACGTAAACAAAGTTTTGTCCATTTAAATGCATAACAGATGCTGCTCGTTTTCCTTACCCTTGAAGCGCTGGTGTTCTGAACTAGACACAAACTACATATTATTAAACATTTTTTCCAGTAAACAATAAATTAAAAACGCCCGTAACATCTTTAATAGTTTCTTATCTTTGTATTTTGTTCTTAAGAACATTTTATTTTATTATTTTGTATTTCATTGACATGATCATAGATTGACCTGAACCACGTGTTCGAAGTAAAATGTAAACATGTATTTGGCGTAAACGTTGCTATTCATTCCAACGATTGGTCAGTTGCTCGTGGTAAGATCGTCTGTGCGCATTTATAACAATAGCCAGATAAGGCAAACAAAGGTTTATCAGTGTACATGTAGATGATAAAACACATTTTTTACCAGCGAATCGGTCACTAATGAGCTGTAATTTTTGCAGTTAAGTATAAGATATATTGTTATTTTAACACACCCTCCTTTAGCCACCCCCTTTCTGTTGAAAATCATGAAAGTCTTTCAGAAAGGTCTGGAAAGATTTATTAAAGGACATGTTTTCAAAAGAAACAGGCTATAGCAATATCCTGCTTACTGCCAATTTTATTTATAAAACCGGTTCTACCCTATAACCTTTGAATAGATCAACCTAAACCACGTGTCTTGAATTTAAATCACAATAACATTAGTAGGGGTGTTAATGACAGATTGTATTTGCTGACAAGGTCATTGTATCGACCATAGAACTTACAAAGTGATGACTTTAAACGAGACTGCTGATATCCTTGCTTCATTTGCCGTTGATATATCTAAATGTCGAGATGAAGGCCACAGCAAGTGTTTTCTTCTTTTTACGTAAAAGATTCAGATCAAATTCTGCTTCGTATGAATACAAAAATAGGTCTGCTGATAATGGGGGGAAATTGGTACCCATGGTAATTCCAGTTGATTGTTAGAAGACCTAGTCTCCCAAAACCACATAGATATTGTCAATCAGAAACTCGAGCATCTTTTTAATATAAACTTCAGAGTACTTATGTGTACAATCATGCAGATAGTCTTTTAACAAAGTAAATTTGCAAACGACCAATGACAAGGTAAGAAAAGAGTTCCAATTTTTTTTAAAAAGCAGCTGTCATTGATGTCAGAAAGACTGGACTTTAAATTATCTTGGGTATAAGTTGTATATATAAAGTTGAAAAGTCGTAAAATTTTAAGTTATTGATTTTGGTAAAAATTTGTGGGTGTTGATTTTTTAGTATCTACATCTGATTTGCACCACTTCCTGAATATATTGTTACAAAGTACTCTTAAGGTTTCTCCTTCACTATTTTTAATATCTCAGTGAAGAGTAATAAAAGAGGCTTTTGTAGAACACTTTATGGAATATTTGTGTGTAAGGATTTTATGAAGTTTCGGAATCTAACATAGACATGGTGCTACAAATGCATTTTGGTTGTTTGGCGTATCAAAAAATAAAAATATTAAAAACTGACATGATTTTGAAGAATTTCCTCCATAGAGAGGGAGCTATGAGTACAAGTTGAATAACCACTTGTAGAATTTAATCCAAGTTCCTTTAAAATACATATTATATAACGAGACTTACAAGCAAAATTAACTCATCCTGCTTACGGAAAGATGATACAAACTTTTATCAAATGTTTTCAAAATAGAAAAAGTTTAACCGAATAAATTTTAATTTTTCACTCAAATTTTAACAACAATGGGATTTAAAGTGACAAAAAGTTGCATATAATAATAAGAATGGCTACAGAAAGGTTGAATTTTGAACATTGCAGAAAGTTTTTTAATAATTAAGAAATTTATTATTCGCATCATTTACAACAAAAAATTGACCAAATATATGTACCAATTCAGGCGTTCAAATTTTTTGGTATCATCTGTCCTTAAGCTTATTTTGTTGAATTCGCCAAAGGTGGAGAGGGTCGAATTCATTAACTTAATTCAGACGTGAACCACTTACATTTTTTTTTTTGCAATTCACTTTCACACAAATGCTATTGCAAAGAAAAATAAAAGTAATCTAAGTGCTTTTACATCGGAAATTTGAAAGGCTTAACCATCTATAGTATGCTCAAACACGAATGCATTTTTGACATCAACTAGAGTTTGTGAGGTGAATGCTACAAATAGTGAGTAAATCGAAGTGTTTCAGTGTTTTAGATTGTTAAGCCATGCAGACAAACTTCTGATGTACAGCACCTTAGATTACTTATAACTTTGCAAAATGACAAAGGTGTAAATGTGACATACAAATGCAATAGAAAGCCATGATCAGTACCTTTCGACTAAGTTAGAGGCGAAGGATTTCCGAGAAAGCAATTCTCCCATTCTCTATATATTAATTTTCATATCCCGGCAAAGTAACGGTTAAAACGATGATACTGAGTGAAAAAGCAGAAGATCTGACTTGTCATTGTTTGTGCTCAGGACCTATTCATAGTTTATTCCCACAAACAATCCTTACATGTAAAATCCTTGCGTTCAATACTGCTGACATTATAACTTTATTGTTGAAACTGTAATAATAAAACTCACAATAAAAAAATACAGACAATTCTCTTTGTCAGTCCTTTTTGAGAAATTTCAGATTAAATTGAAAAATCAATACATGCTGTAAACTACATGTATAAGAGAAATAAGTTCACTTTGTTTTGGAAAACGGGTACAAGTGCAAGAAAATTGGTTACAAATATAGTAAAACTCGGTTATAACGAGGTCACTGGGACTTTTGATATAACTTCGTTATATCCGTAATTCGTTATATCCATGTGAGGAATTCGTTAAATTAATATAGCTGGGGATCCAAAATAAATTGGCTATATCCGTGAGTTCGCTATATCTGTGTTCGTAAGTATACTAAACGAGTTTTGCTGTAGTAGGATAACCATTTTACATCAGTTCAATTCAATTCAAGATAAGAAAGCAACAAAACAACAATTATTAATGGCTCACAATTATAAGATAACCATTAACAACATAAAAATTCAAGATAGGAACTAATATTTCTTTTTTAAAAGCAGCAAAACAAAAAACAAAAAACAAAAAAAACACACAAAAAAAACAAATATTCATAGCTCACAATATATTTCAATTTTTGATTTAAATATCCATCCATAAATGACTAATCTCCACGCCTCCATATACGGGAAAGATAAACTCTCGACAAACGTCCGGGCACGCTGTTATATTGAAGGGAGGAAGTTTACACTTCCAGTAAAAACAACATAGATATGTCGCTCTCGGGAAGAATCTGCATAGTGACCGGTGCCTCCCGGGGGATAGGGAAAGGGATAGCCCTACAGCTGGGGGAGGCGGGGGCCACTGTATATATTACAGGTAAGTTTTAAAAATCTATCAGTTGTGAATCTTTAAAGTAAACAAATATAAAAATAGGTCAGTTGAAAAGATATATCTTGTGGCAAAGGACTTTATAAACACGGTCACCAAAATATGCATGTTTGGTGTAAAAACAAATTTCAACCAAATGTATTTCTAAAATATGACTGTTAAAGGAGTTTCCTTGAAAAATGAAATTTCCTGTTGGATTGCAAACTTTACAAACACATAACTTTTCTCAGTTATTGCTACATCTATTTCATTCTCTTAATCTTCTCTATAATACATACGGCTTGTTTGCCAAAAATATCCAAAATGATTGCCTTCTCTTTCTGTAAAAGGAATTTTAATACATGGATACATTTTAGGGCGAATCATACATTCAGTCCGACAGTCCTTAGACAATATATTTTTTTAGGAAGAACTCTAGCAGCACGCCCGGGGGACCCTCTAGGCGGATCCCTGACAGAAACTGCAAGCGAGGTAAGAATCACATGTTTTACCGTCAATCAGTTATACTGTCTCCTTGCTATCTGATAATGTTAACGTATTCTTCTCGGTTAAGGGGGATGTACAAGCCATATTGGATCTAGTCTGGTGTAAAATAAGAAATACCAAGAATGCGCTTAATACTCTACTGAACTAGCCCAAAGTTACTCAAAGTGCTAATGCACTAATTACCTACTATTAGAGACCAAAATCAGTTAATCATTAAGTTTATTTTGTTTTAATTAGGAGGAAATTAATCATGTTAGAACTGCGCAGCTACAGCATTCACGAGATGAAAAATGCATTGAATATAATGTTAGTTTGATTCATTGATAATATGGCTACAACCATTTGTTTCGCGTTTTTCTTGTCATTATCCATAATTCTTGAAAATTTGATTTTTCATATGGGTGTCTTCCTGAGGCCATGTGTTTATTTCGTCCGCCATTCCTGTGTCACACAGAGTTCGAATAGCATTGGTTTTAGAATAAATGCGACCATAATAACATCAAGACAAGAAATTACTAAGTAATAATCATTAGGTTATATTACTTACTACTTTTATTTGTTGCATTGCATCGTCTGATTAATGAAAAAAAGCGATTTTAACCCCACTCCAGCAAATCGGGAAAAACTGTTCTGTTTACAGCTCGAGTTTCCTCGATAATATCATTCCACTGAGCACGTGGTTGGCATGTGCATATATCTGCTGTGGATAGATGAGTTTATTACCATGATTATATTTAATTTTTCATGGAACAAGTCTTGATGATTTGTTGGTTTCATTAAAACTCAAGAAAAAAGATAAAACATGTCCTAAACATATGTGATTACGGCGGGTCTTTTTTCTGTGGCGATAGAAGTTATTTTCAAATGGGGCACTGCAAGGAGGATCCTTAGCATTTAATTTGAAAATGTTAAACAATATGCGGTGCATGAAAAACAAATTGTAATTACATGTCTTACATTCGAAAAGTTGGTACATGTGTCTATTTTGTTTAGCACTTAGATAGAAAAAATAGGCAGTTATAGGATTTCCTTCAGGCACCTCACATAAATAGCTAGATTGTTTGCAATGAACCACACATTGTATGGAGTAATGTTTGGACATAAAAACGCATCATGTCTCATTATGTTGACAACATTGTAAGCTCTCGCTCATTGAACATACGAAGCTTGATAAAATATATTGAGTTGTTTCTTTGAAATTTAGAAGCAAGCACAATGTTTGCGAAGAAAAGTCCATTGCATATGCTATGTCTATCACGCAAAAAAAAAGAGAGGCTACCCCCCCCCCCCAAAAAAATCCTATGTTTGTTTTTCAAAATAGTGCCAAAGATTAAAAAATTTTGCATTACTAAGTATGTGATGGAACATGTACTAGCCTTATAAGACAATTTGTTATAAAAATGTTTGGTTGCCCTCTCTCCCGATCTACTGCCTAGAAATGGCCCGACTCATTTTTTTTTTACATCCCATTACATGTTTTTTTTTTCTTCCGTCAACGAATATGTTTAAAATTTTAGGATTTTTTTTCTCACCTATAAATACGGACCCAATAATTTTTCCCTGAGTTGGGAGGACCACCAAACGTCATTTTCAAGATGGTATAAAATATTTATTAATGTTGATTTTTTTCTTTACTCTGTAAAATTGTAATTTTGACAAAAAGGGCAAATAGAAAAAGTTTTTTTATTCATTAAATCTCCTAACCCACTCTGAATGATTTCATTCCTTTTCAAATGTTGCTCCGCTAAAATCAAAATTGTAAATGTTTATTTGACAGAGTATACGAGGGTAGATCAAAAAGTAAACGATATATCTTAGGTATTTGATAGTTATATTATTATTGAAATATTCAAGTATTTTTCAAAGTGTAAATTGGAGGTCTTTGATAGCATATTGCTTAATTAAAAACACATCCCTTTTCAAACTTGCTAATATATCACTGGGCAATATAACAAGTATCATATTTAACCATCTGCCTTCCTTCACTAAAACGATCTATCCAATCATTGATTGAATTTGTAGGAAGTCATTTGTCTTAATAAACTATGAACAAATTCTTATATGCTACTTCAAAGGCATTTTTAAGATATACCATAAATATTTTAGTCGTTTGTTAAGCGAGTTCCACTGAGGCAACCATTTTTCGTCACAAGTACCTCCATAATGACGTCATTATGAGCAAAACTTTATTCAGCATATGCTATTTTATAGAACTTGTGTTTGGCTATGTGTGCACCAAATTTGTTTCTAATCTGAATTGTGGTTTTGTAGATATAGAGATAGTTCGCGAACTTTTTGATCACCCCTCGTACAAGTAGGTACTAAATCAAGGTCATTCATATCGATTTTATGTGTTTAATTTCTTTGTGTTTCATTGGTGATAATTAAAATTTTGATATATATTATATGTTATCTGTGGCAAACTTACAAACTCTTAATTCTTATCTTTGATGGTGCTCATTTTCCTTACCTGGAATCAAAGAGTTTAAGATTTTTTTCTTTGATATCAATAAGTACATTATTTAACAACTGTTCGATAATAATACTAAATAAATTACTTCAAGCCATACTATAACATATTTCCTCTTTTAAAAGTGTTCATACTATTTGAAATATTTTGCAACTGTAATTCTCTTCTACATTTAAAGATTGTTATGTCCCTCCATATTAAGAAGAGGTCTGGAAAACAAAATTCTGTGCTAAAAATAGACCACGTGCTGCTATGCATGAACTACTTTCATGGTTCTTTAAACTCTTTTTGAAGACAAAGATACCTTGTTTTGAACTTGAAATTATCATTTAAAAGTGCAAAATTTAGAAATTTTCTCAACAAATGGTTGTAGAGAGAACATTGATGCACAGTTTGCATATTTTTTTTTGGATTTTTTAAGGCTCTGCTGAATTCTGTAGCTGCGCAGTTCTAAGGAGCATATCAAAAGCATTTTTCTGCAAAAGTATAGATTATATATGCACAACATGCATTCAGTTATGCATATTTATTGTATCTTTATCATAAGGACTTAAAATTTGATCAAAATATGATGTATTTTAGCCATTTGAAGAAATGTTTACATTTTGTTCTCACAGCACTAAAGGTGGCCGTACATCCCCCTTAAAAATGCCCAGCTTATATCTGTGCACAGCTCAGAAATGCACAAATCTTGTACTATAGCAGGGGATTTCCTAACATAACATTTAAATGCTAATTAAAAAAAAACACTTTTCAGGCACAGTCTAAGTGACATTTTATATTCATCATAAACTTCATGTTTAAATTTAAACCATGGCTTTTTACAATTTTCCTAGATGCACTTTCAGAAAAAAATTATTTGAATGTACCTGTTTTTGAAACTTTTCGCAGTGTATGCATTTCTGAAAGTTAAATTATGGTTAATTATTTTTTTAAACTATAAAATCTGTTGGAATCCCAATGGGTTCTAATTGTGCACTGTTTAAAGCAGTCCTGTTATTATATTCATTTAAAGCAGAATTTCTTTTAAATTCATACATACATTTGAAAAGTTCTTACTGTGGCCTTCGATTCAACATCAAGGTATAATGACGACGTTTTATCAATTAACAAAAGAGGGTGTTGCAGAAACTCACGATTATTCCCTATATATCGAGAAGGACATTTAAATACCCTCTTTATGTCTAAATATAGATACAGCTACGTAGAGGACTATATATGTTTACGGCGGGTATTTCCTGATTGATACAGCAAAACACTCATCATTTTGCACGAAAAAGGTTGGAACAACAAAAAGCACAATAGCTAAAGCAGCATTTTGAAAAATGAACTGTAGACATCGTGCGAAAATATTTTCGTGAAATAAAACTGCGTCCCATAATCATACTGTTGGTGCTACATCCAAGACATTTCATTTGTTTCAAATCAAATTTTGGTTACTAAGAGTCCCAGCATTATTCAAAATTGCAATAACTACAGTATGTAAAAAAAATTATTTAAACAATACAGTAACTTTGTTTTCCAAGACAAAACTAAATAAAGTATCAGTTTTAATCACAGCATATCAAGGAAAACAATTTTATCCTGCATTATTGCTCAATTTACTTCTTGACATTCTCACTCTTTCAAAAAATATATAATTTCATTGCTATACCATTACATATGGAAAAAAATAGAAAAAAATATATATATGCCAAAATGATCCAAACAGGACCCGAACCCATTCTCTTGTAAATGGACGAATTGGTAACCAACCATCATATCCACTAGACCATTTAGGACACGATGCTTTCAGTCTTATTTAATGTACATACTTTGCATTTTTTGCTATTCAATTTTTATGTTTTTTGTAGAATAATTTTTATTCAATTTTTATGTTTTTTAAAAAATGTGCCTCTTTGAAACAAAAATCGGAAATGGCAGTTTTGAAGAAAATTCCCGCCTCTTTGTGTATATATCAAAATTATTTTGTTTCAAGGAGGCACTTTTTCAGAACAATGGGGATTCCCTATTCAAAAAACGGAAAATCTGATTCATTTTGCCATAAGACTAATTTTCACATCATTTTATGGCAAATTAGAAGTCAATACGCAGCTTCCAAATATTGTTTCTCGTTGTGCTTTATATATTGATGCATTTGAAAAAAATTGATATGAGTTTCTGCAGCATAAAAATTCTTCTTTACATCTGCTACACATTTAGGGAAAATAACAAAAGAACTGCAACACCCTCTTTATTTTCATTCCTACATTGCTTTGATAATTCACTCAACATTTTTAAAAAATTGTCTTCTTTCTAGATTGAATCAAGGGGCGGGAAATGCATCCCAGTACAATGCGATCACTCAAAAGACGAGGACATTGCTGCATTCTTTGAGAGAGTGAAATCTGAACAAAATGGCCGACTTGACGTTCTCGTTAACAATGCTTATGCCGCTGTAAATGTGAGTTTGCACAAAATCAAGTTTTTCGCCGCATTTGATAAAACTTATAGTAAAAAAGCTTTTATATGTTTGTTGCAGGCAATTTCTGAAAATATGGGAAAACCTTTCTGGGAGCAACCTTTGTCAATATGGGATACGGTTAACAATGTGGGCTTAAGGTACATATATGATTTTTAAATATATTCATAAAAAGTGCACACGAATATCTTATTGAAAAAATTTGCATTGGATTTATATTTTACAAATGAAGAAACCACTACATATGCACAGTGCTTGCTGCAAAAATGATGGTTCCAAGAAAACAGGGACTTATAGTCAACATATCTTCTGCAGGGGGTCTGGCATACCTTTTTAACGTGGCATATGGCATAGGAAAAGAAGCAGTGAGTTCTTTTTATACCCCCGCTTGAAAAGTGGGAGGATATATAGTAATTGGGATGTCCGTCAGTCCGTCTGTTGCACTTTGGGGTACCCATCTCTTATCTGCAAACCCTGTTATACCACTGAGTGAAATTTAATGAAACTTTCACGAATCTTTATTAAATATTGCCAGCGTGCACCTCCTATTTCACTTTTTGATCCGACACATTTGGTTTCGCATTGCAAAAGGTGGACACTGCCGTTATATTCATATAGGAGGCGGAGTGTATTATTTAGTGAGCTCATTGCTCACAGTACCTCTAGTTTTATATATTAAATTTTGCATACATTTGATTGTGCTTTTTGGTATATAGGTCAACATGATGGGTATAAAAAAGTGGATAATTACCTTCTTGTAAAATTTTGACTTTGAAACTTGTTAAAGATGCTATTGATAGCTTAACTGAATCACAATATAAAAGGATACAATAAAGATCTTTAAAATACACTACGTAAAACACTACGAGGCAGTATCTAAACTCATAAATCTATAAAAAATTTTAAACGTCAACTTTTAATACATGTACATATATATTTGTTAAATTAAATAAATATATTATATTTTTGGATATAAATTCGAGATAAAAAAGAAAAGAAAATTATTTGCAATTAAAAAAAAATATGTAGAGAATACACCAAAAACTGTGATAGAAGTAAAGTACATGTAATCTAAAATATACAAATGTATTATGATATTATTTTTATCATTTATTCCAAGTTCTCTGATTGGCTCAAACTTGATCACATGATTAAGAATATCAGCATAAAGACTTGAGTTACTATTTACTAATAGTATAGGATCTGAAATGCATATCCACTTGATGTTTCTTAAAATGGAAATTATTCTCTGTAAAACAAAAATAGTAATGATTTCACAATTACAGCTAATACAGTGTATATATCTTGATTTAAAAAAAAAATACTTCAACTTGTATTAATATTTTTCTAATGTTCTGTAATTGATGAGACGTAACAAACTAATTAAATGCCATGAATTGGATCTACTTTATATTAAAAATTCTTGAATATGTTTGTCAAAAATAAATGTAGTATTTTGAATAAGTAAATCTTAAATTACATCAATATAAAGGAAACACAAATACATTAAAGAGCTTAATTAATTTAGTTTGATCTTTAGTCTCTACGTGTTAAAGAGAGAAAACTTGTGCCTTGTTCCCATTATTTTCAAATTTAGCTTTGTCAATCTATGTAAAAATAATAAAACAATCCCTTTAATTCGGTCATAATTCGGTATAATAAGTTTGTATAAAAACACGTTTCTTGTGATTTGATTTGAACATATTTTATTGACAATATGTCAAAGGGATCGGGCACGTTTCTTGTACTCTGTAGCTGGACAGAATGGCGGCGGATTGTGGAGTAGAACTTAGGAAACATAACGTGGCCGTGGTCAGTCTATGGCCGGGACCAGTCATGACAGAACACGTGGACCAAATGCTTCAAACCAGCACGAGTGTAAGAATCTTTAAAACATCATCTCATTGCATGTCGACGTTGTAGTAACATTGTCAATATTCTTTTTTATCCCGTGGGGATCCGGGTTAGAATAGGTCCTCAGTACCCCCTTGATTGTCGTAAAAGGCGACTAAATGGGGCGGTCCTTCGAATGAGACCGTATAAACCGAGGCCCCGTGTCACAGCAGGTGTGGCACGATAAAGATCCCTCCCTGCTCAATGGCCCTGAGTGCCGAGCATAGGCCCAAATTTGCAGCCCTTCACCGGCAATGGTGACGTCTCCATATCAGTGAAATATTCTGGAGAGGGACGTTAAACAGTATACAATCAATCAATCAATCAGTATTCTTTTCTTGCGTTTTTAAGGCACGACAAAAGAAGATGTTCGAAGGCGCTGAATCTGTTGAATACGCCGGGAAGTGCATAGTAGCTCTTGCAAACGGTAATGCATGTTGCATGAAATGTTCACAGTTTGATTGTCCTTGAACGATATTTATCAAGAAGAAATTTTACTTCTAGACCCAAACGTGATGAGCAAATCTGGAAAAGTGCTGATGACTCCTGAGCTAGGACAAGAGTACAATTTACGGGACATTGATGGTAAGTAACCTCATCAATTGATTACTAGAACTGATTATAAATTGAATTTCTTTAATTACAAAGTTTATTAACCTCATTTATTTGTTTGAAGATTTCATTTGCAAAATTTCGACAAATAATCGAAGTTGTGGAGTTTAATGACCTTTAACCAGCATTTATTTAAAAGGCTTGTTTTCTTTCCTATAAATAGGTCGTGTTATAGACAGTATGAGACAAATTAACTGGTTGATGGCACGCAATCCGAACACTGCCTGGATGCAAAGATGGCTTCCAAACTTCTTGAGAATGCCTTACTGGATGTTCGCTTTGAAAGGAAGCAAATTTTGATATGAAAGGGGTGCTGTGTCTTCTGACTACTTGTGGTGCCAAAGTACAAATTGTGAATAATAAAAATTTAGCCGAAAAATACACAGGATTTTTACAAAATACAGAAACGGGTATATAAGTTCACCGATCGATTTACACGCTTCTTTCCAGATATACGTATTTGTGAATATATACTTTGTATTAATTACTTTTTACAAAGTCAATTCAATGGTTCGTGTTATTTGTTGTGAAGTCGATTAAAAAGAAACGCAACTTGAAATGTGTTATTTTCCTTATACTGTAGAATACAAGTATTAAACATCATCAGTGTTGAGATACTGAGAGCACTGAGCCAACAAAAAAGATACACGTACCCCTCTCCCCTACAAATATAATTGCAAAGTCCATTTTTTTCCTATTCGAAACTCCAAAAAAATTTGCAGACCAGGAGGGGGCTATAACTATATATGAGTTATAAGTGCATATAAGAGTGAGTACCGACTTGTGAGCATGTGGCAAATCTTGTATAAGCAGCTTCAACACTTCTACATCGTCTAACTATATCTACTATGAAAATTATATCAGATTATGAATTGTATATGCCTCTCCTCTCTGGTCCTCACTTTCGTGCTAAGCGAATGAGAAAAAAAATGGACAAAGTAAACGAGAAGAAAAAAATTTCAAAGAGAATGGTGAGCAAAAATCCAAAACAATAAACAAAGCAAATAAGGAGAAAAGATTTAACAAAAAAGATGAGGAAAAAAATTGGTCAAACTGAATGAGGAGCAAGATTCAGAAACTGTGATAGAAAAAACTGGACAAGGAAAAATCTAGTCAAAAAAATCTGACGTTTTCCAGGCTCTTTTCGCGATTTTGATACGATATTATGCACGTAAAATATCGTAAAAAAGCCTGGACAACGTAAGATTTTTCGGACTAGCAAAAATTAAAATCTTAGAAAACTTAAAGAAAATTAGACAAAGTGCATGAGGAGCAAAATTCAAAAACTGTGAAAAAGAAGAAAGATACAGTAAAGGAGCAAAAGAAAGAAACTTTGGGAGGAGGATGCAGACATGATGAAGGAGGAAGAGAAAGCAGAAACGTTTATGGTGGGAGGAAAATCAGAAACGAGGGACAACAATTAAACGAACACTGTATAAACAGGATAAAAGACCTCGAATACACAAGTTTCTCTGTGGAGAAACCTGTCCACCTTCCTGTGACTAATCACTTCTACTGATGAAAAACTTTTTTTTAACAAGAAGTATGTATTTACATTGATTTTCTCTACAAGGCTTTAGATGTATTTAATTTCTTTTTATGAATGTATTTTTAGGAGAGAAAAAGGGGGAAAAAAAAGGCCAGGATTTTTTGAAAGAATACAGAAGTTTTTTTTAAGAAATAACTTTCATAGAAATACTAGCGACGAATTTCACCTGTTTAAAATTTTTTTCTCAATTTTTATTTTTGTACAAGTCTGTTAAGAGATTTATTTAATTTTACAAAATATTTCCTTCAACCTTCTTTGATTTATCATATGTAACCATTTTATCCAGGAGCTTCAAATTATACCAAACAGGTGTAAATAATGGCAGAATTGTGCATATTAGTAATATGTATGATTCATGTTTTTTTTTCATTGGCAAACATCTTCTTTAATTAAGACATACTGTTAATAAAATGAAAATGAAAAAAGATAATGCATATGGATTCTTATTTACTTTTATTTCATAAGAAATTATGCTTGTTTAATAAATCAATAAATAAATAGTATAAATATGAAAGATCTGGATTCCTATAATCCAATAAATACTGGTAGTATATGTACATCAGATAACATTTTAGTTCTCATGCATTCATTTTAATATTATGAATAATTCTAGTAAGTTTGCAAAAGCAATGCATTCATCCCTATAAAGTGAAATATTGGCACAGCAGAAATGCAGCACCTTATTTTCATCTTCAAATAAAATTAAAAACTTTTGCAGTTCATGTATGCACAAAATTTATAAAAGAAATACTTCTGACATTTTCTACATTTTTAGAGATATCATTTTGCATACAATTGTGTCATATTCAGTAAGTAGAAACTCAGATGTTAATTTTGTGCTTTCCCTTTGTCTTGTCTCTGGTGATTAGCATGGTGTAAGTGTATGTAACATGCAGTTTCAATTCTTTCACTCTTTCATCCACTCAACTTATAAATATAAAAAAGTTTTTTTTGAAAGAAATTGATAGTATTAAAAGTTCATTTCAATGTTGTTGTTGCCAGTTATATAAAAAAAAAAAACACCCCCCCCCCCCAAAAAAAAAAACAACATTACAATAACAATTTAAAACTATCATCTCTTTCTTGTAAACAAAAAATCTCACTATATCCTTGATGGTTGAAGTGTATTTACACAAATACAAAATATTTTGGGGGGGAAAAGTCATGACATCTGGAAATCAGTCTGTTTTATTTTTCTCTTCACTTTCTTTTCTATTTGCCCTGTGAATCAGCAGAAGTCCTGTAACAATCAAACTGGCTCCAATCCACCATCGCAGGGAGAGGGTCTCATTGAACAGAGCTACTCCCATCAAGGCCTAGAAAACAATACCAAAAATGAATCCAGAATATTATTTTTCAAGAATTAAGATTTTTTCTGTATTCCATTGTAAAACTATGATCCTCCACTGAAGCCCCACCCTACCCCTAAAAGTCAAGTTTTAAACAAACTTAATTTTTTTAACTACCTAAGTTAATAATGACTAATCATGACTTTACTTCTTGAGAAGATTTTTTTCCTTTTCCCATTTTTATTACCCATTTGAGCCCCACCCTACCACCCGGGGTCATGATTTGAACAAATATGAATCTACTCTACCTTGGGATGGATTCATGTAAGTTTCTCATATTCTTACTCAGTGGTTCTTGTGAAGATGATTTTTAAAAGATGAATGCACTTGAAACTTGAATTCACTTTACCCAAGGAGACTTTGTGGCAAGTTTGGATAAAATTGATGCTGTGGTTGTTGAGAAAAGTGAAAAGTTTAGAGACACACATTGACATACAGATGGATCTGCACAAAATGTAATCAGAAAAGCCTTCAGATCAGGTAAGATAAAAAAATAGATAAATAAAGTGCCACGCCACAGCATGATACGCCTGTCAAAAAATTACAGTTACACTGTATCTTAAACAGTTAAAAGTGCAGGAAAATCATGTCAACCTTGGTTTTAAGATTTCAATGATTTTTACACACCTTAAAATATTTGTTTATCCATCTCCTGTGGTGTAGGCATTAATTATAACAAATATTGCATCATTCATAGATTTCTATACTGGTTGTGTTAGACCATGCCAAATGCCTATCATATTAAACAATATCAAATTAGTCTTCACAAGTTAATCTATACCTAATTAATTTTGAAAATAAAAGGCTGGCCATCAAATATAAACTGACCAGCAGTTCTTCTGTCTAATTCCCGAAGAAGACAGATAAGACCATGCGCTGAAGAAATGAAAGAGACATGCAGCTAGCCTTCCTACATTGAACACATTAATTAATCTTTAACTGGATGCTTGTCTACTCATTACTCCCTAAAGATTATTGGATCTGCACTATCTACCATAAAACATATAAAACATTAATGATTTTTTTTTTTTAGATTTAATGTCAGTCAGTTTTAAAAATGCAATTCATATGGACATGCTGATTCCATCCCACCCCCATAAAATTAGTTTTTAAGTTCATAATATTATGTAATATCAAAATAGTTTAATAATATGCAATATCAGATTAGTTTTGATTACTTCTCATCAAATTCATTCTAAAACTTAGACTAGCCAACAAGAGCTATTTTTTTAATCCAACAGACTTACCCATTTGGCCCAATACTCAAGAGATATAGATAGCACCGATGCTCTTACAGCTACTCCTCACACTAAACTCATTAATTTCTCTCTCTAATTTGACATGCAATTTTCTGTTATCAAAATTCTTCTTGACCAGTGCTTGATAATTACACTCATGGGAGTGGTGGAATTTCTCTAACATATATTATATTTGTTATAGATTGCTGTCAAGTACATGTATATGCTAAAAAAATTAAGTATTTTCTTGATTTAACATTTTTCTAATAAGGATAGTGCAAAAGTTTTAGATTTTTTGAATGTGTAAATGAATAGAAAAAAAGACATTTTTTTTTTTTAATTTCACTTAAATTAAAGGTCACAGTGACCTTGATATATGTCGCGACTCACCTTCTACCTAAGATGCATAAACTGGCCAAGTTTGATGATTCTAAGTCTAATAGTTTTCTAGTTCTGGACCGGACAGGATTTTTCCATATTTGGCTATAACTTTTTAATTATAGGTCAGAGCGACCTACTTTTTGTGCGCGACACACCTTCTACCTAAGATGTATCAGCTGACAAAGTTTGATAACTCTAGGCCTTATAGTATTAAAGTTATGAGCCGGACACGAGAAAAGCTAACAGACGGACGGACAGACGGACACGAAGCCTATAACATTATACGTCTTAAGACGGCCTATAAAAAAATATTTAAGCAAGCAATTAAATAGAGTCAAAACTTACACTGATAAGGAAGTTGGAGGCTGTGTTTGTAACTGTTGCTTCAGCTGTTGACGAACAGAACTGGAGGGACTTGGTAAAGAGAGTCCACATCATGCCATTACAAACAAATATCAGAGCAAAAAACAAAATCCTCATCACAAGACTCAGCTGAAATGGAAAGAAAATTATGATTTTACAATGTGATTTATATCAGCAAGCTAGACAATACATGTATACAAAATAAAATAATCCAATCAACATGTGCAATATTTTTTAGTTTGAGGACCCTCTATTTTCATTCTCCTGACAGCTAGAGAATTTTTATTCAAAATAAGCAATTTGTCAATTCAGGGTCAACTTAATCAAAATACTTTAAAGAAATTGATTTCTTTTTTCCATTCTAGTTCCATGAACATAATTATATATAAATATATATGAAGAGAAAATAAAGAGGCAATTAAGTATTGGATTACAGTAAAACTATAATATTACAGTACTGTACCTGGTGGCAAATGCCACTCCTGATGATGATTTGACAGATGTCCATAATGATGTGGTCACTAGTGGCCAGTTTGGCTGAGACAGAACCGAGGGCTGCCATGACACCTGCACTGACCGCCAGCATCAGTCCTCGGCCATGATTCACTCCTGCCATTACTTCAGATTTAGACCTTTAGTTCGGAGTCCATGTTATAAGTAACTCCCAGATTTACCAATTGACTTGATATTCAGTCTAGAGGGGGGAAAAAGAAACTGTTACAAGTTTTTAAAATGTACCAATCAGGTAGTTTAACAGCTGAAGTATACTATTTAAAGCTTCAGATAATATATCATTACATGATTTCTGATTTCAGTATATTAATTCCAAGTGTACTTCATTCAGGATCAAAAAGAAAAAATGCCTAGATAAAGGTAAACTTTGGAATCTTGAACAACTAATAACTATGTCTCTAATACCACCAATAATGATGAACATTATACATATTTGGAAACCTAAACCACTGTATTTAAGTATGTGTATTGTGTATACAACATGTGTGGTCAATATGACCTAGTTAGTATAAATATTTATTGGTTTTTTTTTTCACAGTTTCTGAAATAGAATATCAGAATAAACATATATTTCTTGTAATTTTTATGCTCCCCGGTTGAAAAATCCCAAAATATATTGTTTTGTCCTGTCTGTCTGTTTGTCTGTTTATCTGTTTGTCTCTCTGTCTGTCTTTTGTCAACTTTAACCTAGTCCATAACTACTGAGTGAGTATAGGGCTGTGGCTTCCATATTTCAGTAGTGTATTCCTTGTGACAAGACCTTTCTTTGAATACAACCAAATTTGACCTCTTGACCTTGGAGTTTGACTTACTTTTACAAAAAAATAACACATATTTACCTTGGCCATAAATTTTGAACATTTGGAGCTAGGGCTTTCATACTTCAAAAGTGTATGCATTGTGACAAGACCTTTTGTTGGTATAAATATTTTTGACCTTTTGACCTTGACGTTAGAGTTTGATCCACTTTTTAAAACTTGAACCTTGGTCATGACATTTGAACAGACAGAACTAGGGCTTTCATATTTCAGGTATATTCCTTGTAACAAGACAGTGACTTTCCTTTGGGTACCAATACTTTTGACCTTGACCTTTGTCATGTATATGAGAGAATAACAATTCAACTCTCGCCATATATGCTGCCATACAGGGACGTCAGTGTTTCACTAACAACATCTTGTTTTAAATGTGAAAGAGACAAGGATAAAGAAAAATTGAGAGATTTACATGAACGGATACCTGTTTATCTAACGTAAACTAAGCTAGCTATCTTGAATGCAGTCCAGGCAAGTCTTCTTGTTTGCATACCTGACCAGATATAATAATAATATCAATATCTGATTATCATATAAATATTATGTTATCATTACCATAACGGTACATGTATTAATTTAGATGGCAATTTTATTGTCCTCAGTGGTCACCCTTTCAAGTCAAGTTCTCGGAGAGTATCAAGAGAGACAACGGTTAAAAAGACACCCATATGCCTTATTAGGAATTAAAATAACTATAAACCATAGTTACACTGGGTGACAATCAGCATGATATATAAAAAAGTTGTATTTCCAAGGAAGCAATCTTTGATTTCATGTAGGCTGACATGTTTGAGGTCCGCAGTAAATTAAAAAAAAATAGTGTATTAAAAAAGAAAATAATATAATCTGTTATCATGCTTTTTAAATAATCTGATAATAATGACTGAACATGTGTTTTGTTTTATTTGTGAGATAAACTTTATTTTTCATGTATAAATAAAGAAAGGGTGGACTAATCACCAGATACATTAAACTCCTATAATTAAATACTTGATAATATTGAGATAAACACACAGACAAGTTTTAATTATAATGAATGTAAATGAGATTAATTTTTTTTATTGTCGATACAATGATTTATCCTAAGTTTTAATGTGTATTAGCCTTAATTAATAAAACTACGAATATTTTTCGTCAATTAGCGCTCTCAAAATTAAAAGCAAGGATGGCGGAGATCATCGTCAGCATTCAGGCGTATTGTAAAATACTTCTCCATGCTGTCAAACATCCACATTGTTCTGTGAATGGTGTATTACTGGCAGAAGATAGTAAATCAAAGGACCGCAAAGTTTTGAAATTTGTCGACTGTATCCCTTTATTTCATTTAACCCTCAGTCTTGCTCCCATGCTTGAAGCTGCTTTGCTGCAGGTAAATGTGAGATTTTTCGGATAAGATTCTGCTCCAGATGTGTATTATTATCATTGTTCTAAATTCTTAAAGTAATATATAGTTATTTTGACTTCGATTCATGTGTAATTCTTCCTCTAATATTGTTAAACATCAAATGTGACAGAGGAAATTCGAGTTGAGTAATACCGGTGTGCTTTCATTGGCATTTAAATGTTAATTCCATTCAAGTCAGTTTTAATAAGAAAATGTCAAAATATACAAGTGGAATAATGCATTAGTATAATTTAACTTTTGTATGTTTATGAGTGTAAATATTTTTCTTAATCATTCTAAACTTCTGTACAATTTATGTTTTTGGCCATTTCCATCTTTGAAGTGAACCTAGGTTCACTGGATCTTACTATCAATTTCAGATATCAAAAAGCTTCAGTTAAAAAAAACAAATCAATCAAACAATCAAAGGTGAAGTTGGGTCTTATCAAGTCTGGTACAATCACTAGATTTAGCTAAGTAGCTTGATCTACCTACTTACTATATTTACCTACCTGAGGTAGCTTTATTTAGCTACCAAATCAATTTATTTCTACAAAAAAAAAGCATTTTTCTCAGGGGGTGCAGAAAATCTAATTTTGATGCAATGATCATTTTCAACTTTTTTGAAAACAATTTATGAAAAAATCACTCTTTTGATAAATTTAAAATTCCCGGATAAGGGTACAGAACCCTGGACCAAAAAGGGGTCACTTAAGCCTGTGAAGAATATACATAATGTTGTTTTATATTTCAGATTGATGCATATTGTAAAAGCAGGGGTTATGTCATCGCTGGTTACTATCAAGCCAATGAAAATCTTAGGGACAAAGAGTAAGTTTGATTTTTCCTGCACTCTCTAAGTAGAAACTCTTATGTTGGTTTTTGACCAAGTAACCAGAGAAACATGTATATTTTCTTCTTTGATAATTTCCTACTTCTATTGTAATATACTAAATATAAAGTTGCTTGATTACAAATTGTCTGTGTCATTGCAACAAAATGGTTAGTTAGATTTTGACCTTTGACCAAAATAACGTCAAGATCAAGATGTCTTCCTCCTCCGTTTTCAAGCTTTGTGGTATGAATGAATATGTGTTAGAAAAAAATACAATTATTGAAAAGATGATTAAAATAAGACACCTCGAGCATGTAGAGACCATGCATGGCCTTAAAGGTTGTTGTAAGAAAGAAATATTTATTGTTTCATTGGTATTATTAATAGAAATATTTAGGAAAGATATATTCTTATTTCTACCTATGTTGTTTTTGATCAGATTGAATAATGTGGCCAAAACTATAGGAAGAAGAATTCAAGAAAATTGTCCAGATTCACATATATTTATGGTAATAAAATGTTATTTGAAATATTGCATGTGTAAATATTTGTGTTCCTTATAACTCAGTTCTTTTAATTAAATCAACTTTCTAAAAGAAGAAATTCAAGACAATTACATAATTATTTATAAATATTAAAAAAAGATAACTTCAAAATTTCGAGAAATCTTTGAAAAAGCTTCATAAAGCAACACAGTTACATACTCCATTTATTTAACTTTAGAATGATTATGATGATAATGAAAAAATAAAAAGATCAGAATATAATGTTCTTTGTTATTTCATAAATTTAACCTTAAAGGAAGTCTGTTGTATACATGCAGGTTGATAATGAAAGACTACATCCAGAATCTGTCTCAGAGTTGTACAGAATTTATTCACCAAAGGAAAATTCATGGAAACAAGAAGAAAAGTAAGACACATACTGATTTTGATCCATACATGAAATACTTGTCCCATATTTTATGTTTAAGTTGACTCATTTACTTTAGCTGAATTGATTTTGGCTAAATCGACAACATTGCTTATATTTAAATCCTCCTTCTTTTAAACTAATTTAATAAAAATTAATCTTTGAACCAGATTGGTTTCAATTATAATTAAAGGCAAATTAAGAATTTTAAATTTTGATCAGCCAGTTTCCAGTTCATTTCCAAATTCAGAACTCTTGTCAATTTTACATAGAGTATTAGGGCTCAATAAGTATATGACATTAAGAATAATTATTGATGATTCATGTTTTGATAATGAACAGTTTTTATGTTGTTTTTTTCTGGAATATATTTTTGATTTAAAACAAAAAAAGAAAGAAAATCATCAAAATTTTTCTTTATTCAATTCCTTGCATTATGTGATCTAAGTATATCCCAATAGCATAAATATAGGGTGAAATGAAAACTAATTATAAGATTTTTTTTTCCTAGTAAAGAGACAGTGACGGAGGAAACATTACGGACGGCAGCCATGTTGTTGTCATCTCAATCGTTTAGGGAAGTTGATGTGGTGGACTTTGATAATCATTTCAACGACATCACTCAGGACTGGCGGAACCTCCAGATAAACCAAATGTTAGAGAAGTGTACTTGATGACTGTGGCAATTAGCCTTTCTGTTACAGAACACAAGAAATGATACCAAATGTGGACCTGCTCATAGCTATGATGGTGCAAGACTCCGTGCCAGGTTTCGGTGGAAAATGGAGAAACTTGGTGAATTTGATTACGGATTAAAATTAACGATTATATTATGTGTTTTTTAATTAATAAGTAAAAGTGTTGTGGTGTGATAACCATCAAAATTGACCTTTATGTAGAATTTTTTTTTACAACTATAAGTGGTTGTAAAAAGAAACCCCCTTCTCTGTATATCTGTATCCTTGTCAGATGATGAAATGAACAAATGCAGACCAAAGTTGCCATTCAATCATGTAAAGTACATCTTTAGTTTATTATATGCAGGGCATTTTAGAACTTCAGGTGCTGAAATCATGATTTTGTGTATATTCAAATGAAAGTGTAACTGTAAGCATTTTCCCTATGGTTAGTATTAAAGAAAAGTGAAAAAAAAAAAACTCATAATCTTGAAAAATCCATTTCAGCTTTCTAGCGGTGCTTTCACTGAATTAGATTCCTTCACCCACCTATGAGGAGTATTGTGTTATATTGTTGAATAGCGTTTAAATCAAATACACATTGATTGTGAAAAATCAATCCCCAATCCCCAAAACAGTGAAAATCTCTGATCCGCCTACAAGATTTATTTTCTTTGTATAATTAAATCATAACCACTTGCAACTTGACATAAGTAATAGATTTGTTGAATGTGAACAATTTCTCATATCCAAAGCATCACTTGTAAAAATGTTTCATGATGTATTGTAGGTAAATTTAGAACTAAGAATTGCCTGAGTGTGTTTGTAAGAGCAAATATTTTGCTCCATTTCATAAAAATGGTGTTATTTTTTCTTAATACATTTTCCATACCTCTGTACACAGGGCTTTTGTAATTTTAGTTCATGTACAAGTACTTATGTATTAGAATTTTGACCTGATTTAATATTTATTTTACCAATTTTCACGCCCCAACTACCTAAAGATTTGCCACTCAAAACACTGAATTTTATTCAGCCCTGCATATTTTATACATCTTAAAGATATAATATTTAGAATACCTATCTTTTCCACTTCTTTGGATCCACAAATTGTACATACATGTACAATATTGAAGTCTATCAAGTCTTCATCTGATTTATCACAAAACATTACCTAATCATGTTGCTGACTGTTTTCACAGTGTTTTGTCCATCATCTCTTGTTAATCCTCATCTCTCACATAATGTGTATATGCAGCTTGTGAGAATAAATTGAACAAGTTAATAGAAAAAGCATGAATCAAGTAATAAAATAGATAATTCAATGTCCAGTTAATAAATGTTGGCATTAAAAAAATCTGTTCAGAGTGAAAGGTTGATAATTATGGTAGCCTAAATTTTGATGGATGGTATTGTGTTTTTACCTCATTGCTTTTGTGAATCATGTCAATGCTTTATAGGGTCTGATTTATATTATATGTACCACTGCCCTGTTATAAAGAACCTAGTCAGTATCTCTTTGCTCTTATTTCCCAGTTAGAAGAAATAAATGTTTGTAACTCAGGAGGCATGTGTAAATCTGTCTTTTTTTCATATTTTAAAAATATTTTGATGTTTAAGTACTTATTAGTTTAAAAATGTTACGATAATTTTGAAATATATGTATACATTATATGTTCTCTGCATAGTGACCGTATTGTATGCCCCTTGTATGGCCAGAGTGAAAAAGGTGCATTGCAGTAGTCAATACACCCAAATGACCTAATGTATGAACATTTATTACTATTATGAACATGTGCGACTGCGAATAGAATATATGTAGCTACAAATTATTTATTTACAACACTAAGCATGTCCAACATTCCTAGTTATAAAAATAATGTAGTACGAAGCAATTACATGTATGTATTATATTCTTTGTCACTGTCTTTAAATACACTGTAGATTTTCATTTTTGTATGTGAACTAGTATGTCC